TGTTTCTCAGTTGTAAATATGCTGCTCTTGCTTTGCCGATCCGCGCCTTCACATCTGCATCAGATCCACCCTTCATCAATGATGCTACCCAGATATGTAAAGGTTTTTACATCTTCCAAATCTTCTCCGTCAATTGTGATTGGATTGGTGCATGCTGTGTTGTATCGGAGAATCCTGCTTTTCCCTTTGTGTATATTGAGACCTACTGCTGCTGAGGCTGCTGCCACACTGGTCGTCTTCCCCTGCATTTGTTGTTGCGTTTGGGATAGAAGGGCCAGATCATCTGCGAAGTCTAGATCGTCCAACTGCATCCTAGATGTCCATTGTATCCCGTGCTTCCTTTCAGATGTTGACGTCTTCATGATCCAGTCGATCACCAGGAGAAAGAGAAAGGGTGAGAGTAAGCAACCTTGCCTGACACCGGTCTTTACTTCGAACGACTTTGTCAACTGTCCTCCATGCACGATTTTGCAGTTTAACTAATCATATGAATTCTGTATGATATTGACTATCTTCTGAGGCACGCCGTAGTGTCGAAGAAGTTTCCATAGTGTTGTTCTGTCCACGCTATCAAATGCCTTTTCGTAGTCAATGAAGTTGATGTAGAGTGATGAATTCCATTCAATTGATTGTTCCACAATGATCCGTAGAGTTGCGATTTGGTCTGTACACGATCTATCCTTACGGAATCCTGCCTGTTGGTCACGAAGTTGGGCGTCTACGCAGTCCTTCATCCTGTTTAACAATACCCTGTTGAAGACTTTTCCCGGTATTGAGAGAAGAGTGATGCCCCTGTAGTTATCACAGTTGCTGAGATCGCCTTTCTTCGGTATTTTGATCAGAAGTCCTTCTTTCCAGTCTGTTGGTACTTGTTCCTCATCCCAAATCTTATTGAAGAGAATGTGGAGTATCCTTGCAGTTGCCGCTACGTCTGCTTTTAGTGCCTCTGCTGGAATGTTGTCCGGTCCTGCTGCTTTGCCACTCTTGATTTGTCTGATGGCCATGCTGATTTCTTCAATTGTTGGTGGGCCAACATTGATTGGGAGGTCCGTGGGTGCTGCTTCGATGTTGGGTGGGTTCAGTGGAGCTGGTCGATTCAAGAGTTCTTTGAAGTGTTCTACCCACCTGTTTTGTTGCTCTTCAATGTTGGTGATTACCTCGCCTTCCTTGCTTTTCACTGGTCGTTCTGGTTTGCGGCGATTTCCAGAGAGTTTCTTTGTCGTGTCATACAATTGTCTCATGTTTCCTTCTCTTGCAGCCTTTTCCGCCGTCGTTGCTAAATCTTCCACATATTTACGTTTGTCGGTTCTGATGCTCCTCTTCACTTGTTTGTTTACTTCTGTGTATTCAGCTTGTGCCTTGGCTTTTTCTGCTCTTGTTCGACTGGTATTGATTGCTGCCTTCTTGTTCCTCCTTTCTTGAATCTTATCCAGTGTATCAACAGTGATCCATTCCTTGTGATGGTGCTTCTTGTGACCCAGGACCTCATGACATGTTGAAGTGATTGCCTCTTTGATCCCCTTCCAGTTGCTCTCCACAGTAGTTCCTTCTCCATTGAGTAGATCATGAAAGGCCTGGAACTTGTTGCTGAGGACTATCTTGAATTTGTTGAGTTTGTTAGTATCCTGAAGAAAGGCCGTATTGAACTTTTGTGATATTGTCCGCCCCGTTGTCCAGTGCTTCTTGAGTTTCAATTTCATCTTGGCGACCAGCAAGTGATGATCTGATGCTATATCAGCTCCTCTCTTGGTTCTCACGTCCTCTATAGTCCTCCTGAACGTTTTGTTGATGCAAATATGGTCGATTTGGTTTTGTGTAGAGTGATCCGGTGAAGTCCATGTGGTTTTGTGTATGCGTTTATGTGGGAATATGGTGCCGCCTATGACCAGCTTATTGAAGGCACATAGATTTGCAAATCTCTCACCATTTTCGTTTCTTTCTCCCAGTCCGTGTCGTCCCATGATGTCTTCATATCCAGTGTTGTCCGTTCCAACCTTGGCGTTGAAATCTCCCATCAGAATGGTCAGGTCCTTTGTTGGGCACTTCTCGACGATTGACTGCAGCCTATTGTAGAATTGATCTTTAGCGTCTTCATTGTAGTCGTTGGTAGGCGCATAGCATTGGATGATGTTCATTGAAATCCCCGCTTTCCCCAGGATCTCATGACTAACAGAGTCTAACTTAACCTTAAGGTCAAGAACTACAATTTCTATCGGACATCGAAAAGTACAGTTATGTTCTAGAACATCATGAAAGGTGAATATTTGATCTACACATCCACATTCAAGTCTGTAAATGTTCAGGTTTTTTCGGGTTCGATCTTTACGAGCTTCAATTAGATGTCGAAGTATTGTTGAGGCTAATTTTTAAGACAATATATCAGTTGAAGCGATTCCTTTATGAGCATCACTAAAGGAGTTTTGTCCCATATTATGGACTAGGACTTTCAACAATCCATACAAATCAGTCGGGATATTGTCTAGTTCTCAGATTTTAGTCATGATTCCAGTTAATGTAGCTGCTAAAAATGTACCACCATACTTATAAACAAAAGTTAATCCACCAGGCCCTCTCGACTCTACTCTTGCTTAAGATTGCCTAAAGTCTTTCCAACGTCACTAAAGCTTGGAGAAATTTGATAATTCGCCATTCATGTTGCTTGTAGATATGGGATGACTTAACTGTGTCTGAAGACCTGTTGAACTGTTCTTCAAAGTGTTTTGCCCATCTGTTCAATCTCCTGGATTAAGAGTGAATAACAGTTCTATCTCTTTCCGAGATGGTCACACCAACAACTTCCTTTTTAATACTTGTTTCCTTGATAAGTTTTAACAGTTGTCTACTGTTACCTATCGCTGCTGCCTTTTCCATCTCTTCTGTTTTCGCTACCCATCATAGCTCACGATCATTGAATTGGCTTCTCATCAGTCTGTGTTTTCATTACCTCCTTTCCTCATTATATTCTCAGCTAGATGGGATAAATTCCCAATCATCTGTCAGTTCAGTAGATAGCAATCAAATTCACTGATTTTTCTTGACCTTTTATTTTAAGTTACCGGTAGGTATTATTGCTGTTTCTACAACTTTTCAAATATCATGTCAAACGATCTTGAGGTGAATATCACTTGTATGGTTGACTAACCCTTTCTCTCAAGTTGTTCTTGAAATATATTCTTAACTTTATCATCACTATATGAAATATCTGTAAGTACATAAAATGCAATCATAAAGATGTGTGTCATACCAGCTGTTAGCAAGTTAAAACACTTGAATTTTGCAAGACTCTATAATAAAATTTTATACATATCTCACAATATATGGTTACAATGATCTTCCTTATCTTGTATGATTAGAGATATCCGTATTCAGGGTTTACATGACATATAGTTCTTCATTTAGACTAAATGCTTTTTATCTAAATAAACAAGATTAACTTCATATTCTATATCCTCAGTTCCATCTGGTTGCATTCCATCAACATCAGATCGATTCATCCAATAGTTTAATTAACCCTGAGAATCTTCACTATCATTTTCTTTAAACTTAACAATATTTATATTCCCTTAACAATTTAGAAACTTCATTTTTCCCTACATATATTTTGAAGAAAACATTTCACTTGTTTTTTAATGAATCTCAACATAATACTAGCTGGATCCTCAGTTTAATTTTCAGTAAGATTCATTCGTATTGACGTATTTTGATGATGTTTTAGTTGAACAACATTTTCTTTTTGTCAGTATAGGAGTTGTAAAGATTGATAAGTTTTGATTGAGATCATGAGCCGATTGATGTTAGAACACCATTAAAAACCTGAAAGAACTGGACGGCCGTTTCGTGCTATTACGGGACTCCTCAGCAGTGCACATCCACGATCGCGCTTAAGGGATTCGAACCCAGGGCCTTCAGTCTCGCTCGTGGACGCTTAACCTACTGGACCACATATCAGTAAAAGTAACTAGCTGATTAGTATATTTCATGGTTTTTCTCATGATTTATACTACTCACTAATGTTATAATAGCACCATAAAACAGATTCAAATAGTCTACTTATAATCTATTCATGTTTATTATTAATACAAACTGGAATTTTAGAACAAACAATTTAGTCCTACTACTAATAAGTAGTAACAACCTGTGTAATATACTTTCAAAAGCTTCTGTTTAATTGTTTTCAGTTATTCATTGTTATATGTGATAATTGTCATTTCAAATCAATTAGTATCACTGTTCTTATACCCCCTACCTTATTGATCGAATTTGTCTATTACTAGGGAATATCATAGTTTAACATTACAATAACTAAGTAATTTATACGTTCTTACCATGAAATATCTACTTGTTATTCATAATTGTAGTAAACCAAAAAGGCATAAATTGACATTTTTGTATATTTTGTATTTAAAACAATGTAAACACGTTCACTTGGTATTGTTTGCTTGAATCTTCCCATTGATATTTAACACTACAATTGATCAGTCTCTTATTGATATATGTACATCCTGTGCGGATTGCCTCAATATATAGCCTTAAGTCACAAGCATTTTAAGCAAAGATTGATAGTGCCTAACAGTGGAATCCAGAACATGCATTTCGTACTATTTAAAACTCGTCAGTTGGATGTACTTGTATCTCAAAGTTGATGTTTACTCTGGGACTCGAACCGAATAACGTTCGCTCTAAACACCATCGCGTTATCCACTTAGCTATCAAGTTCTAGATAAAAATGTAAAGATACAAGTAAAGTAACACGAAGTGGATTTAAACTTCATCTCATTACATAAGCAAGTGACTATCAGGACTCAGTAGTTAAGACGATAACACGATGGCATTTGAAACGAACGGTGCTAGGTTCAAGTCCCAGAGTGAACATCAACTCTGGGGCAGTCATACATTACGATATAATCCATCATAGTGTCATTCTTCCACCTTATAAACTAATCTATATTTATGATCATTCTTTTTTTTTTCTTTATTTTGTACTTATTCAATGTATATAGGAAATAATGATGTAACAGTTGGTAAATTTTATGCAACTTTTTTAATACAAGAATGGTTTCGTAGATGGAAACAAAAAAAAAGCTGAAGAACAAAAAGCTTTATTACATGGACAAGTAACCAAATATTAACTTACTAATTTTTTCTTGAATTTTTTTTATTCACTATATTGATTACATTTCATTGAATAATCATTAACTAGACTTGTATTTGATCACAGATGTCTTAGAAATATTGTTCGATTCTGCTAGGATCACCAGCTAAGTAATAGTGAGGTTAGATGCCAGGGTATTAGGGAATGATTATAGATCAGTTAATGAAGTTGTGAATTCTCATCGACTGAGATGGTTAGACCACGTGTTACATATGCCTGAACACCGATCGCCACGACGTGCAATGCTGACTAGTGTTGGAGATGAATGGAAGAAAGTTAGCAGTGGCCAAAGCAAAACGTGACATCAGTCCTTGAAGACACTAACCTCTAGTCTGAGCCATGTTGGTAGATTCAGACTACTTGGTTGGGGTCCACGTGACTATCGTAACTAATGGTTGGAGACTCTTGGTGACATTGGTCAGAATCGATCACAATGGCGTACGTAGGTGTATACAATCTCTGTCTACCCTTGAACTATGAGATTAAGATCGCTTCATATCTTTCTTTCTACGAACTAAGTCTTTCTTTCTGTACTATATCTTTATATGCAATCTTTCTTTTATACATTACCACCACTGAATTAACTACTTTTATGAATCCGGTGTTCATCTTGTTGTGGTGATGAGGTATGGAAACTTTGACGGATGCATATATATGCCTGATTCTACTTTGTAGCCGACTGACTGAAAATAATATTTTCCCTACAGTTTTGACTCATCAATCATGGAGTTATTCAATTAAATATTAAAGGGTAAATGAACTGAATTATGTTACGACAAACAAAGACTTACATTATTTTAACTGGTTGATGTTTTATTTTCAACAAGATTTTTCTTTACAATAGTAAATTGCTTACCCCATGCTTAACCCTCCTCTTTTACCCAGACTTGGTATGGGCAGTAACTCTAGTATTTATTTCAAATAAATACTAGTTTTAATCAAAATGAATTCTAATGTTAATAAGCTTAATTTAGAATGTTAGATTTGTTCAGCTAGTTAGTTAATTAAAAAGAAAAACTTTTAGTCACTACCTTGATGATATTGTATATGATTCTGATTGATTATATGACTATCTTCTCTTTATCCTGAATATTACCTATTGAAGCAAGAATCAATGTCGTTTGTTGATATTCATCCTAAGATAAACTAACTATAACACTTAGATCAGAATTGATCACAAATCTTCATTAGTTGCTATTTATCTTCATAGTTTTCGTCGTTTCATGTTACAGTGTTCAAGAATTAAGTGATATTACTTGGATTACTCAGTGGTCTAGTTGGTTAAGCGCCTGACGCGAGACTGATAGGTCCTCGGTTCGAATCTCGCGAGGCGAGGTCGTGAAAGTGCACTGCTGAGGAGTCCTACAATATGACGAAACGGCCGTCTGGTGCCTCCAGGTTCTCTGGCCCCCAAATGCCCAAGTACAGCCCAGAGTGGGGAGAGTACGCTCTCCCTCTCGAAATCCTCTCACATGACCACGCGTATATGGCCTCTGCCAGGAAAGTCCTACTCACTGCCTTGCCCTGGCGGGGGTGTTGTTTACGAAATTGAGAGGACGAAAAGTCAACGTTTAGCGCTTTATTCGGTTTGGTGGACACGGAGAGTCCACCTAGACAAGTTGGAAAACCATGATTTAGAACCAATGGTGCACATGGGCTCCAGTATCCTAAAGGAATAAATTGCGTATGAACCAGTGATTGGTCACCGGCTACCATGGGACTGCATCTTCTCACAATGCTCCACTGCTTTGTGGGTCAGACTTTCAGATCGAACGCTTCGTGCGTGGCCTCCTAAGAAGACCACCTGTTTTGGTTTGGGCACCCGAGCAATATCACAGCCTTCATACATATCGAATGAGATTAATGCCTCCTTGAACCAATATCTATGTATTAAAATAAAATAAAAAATCTTGACCAAAGTAGTAATAACAGGAGTTTTATTCACATCATAACAATCGTTTCTATATCGTTTGCCTTATTTGACATGAAATCACAAATAAAAATGAAGCGAATTCAAAGAACAAAACATTTTCTTTTCGATGAGATTTCAAATATCTAGAGGTGATTAAATAATGATCAAAGAGTTCATGAAGAATAGGAAGATGAAAATAATTTATCGGTCAGAAATATGATAGATAATTGTTTACTTGACAAATGTAATGGAAAAATGAAAGACCAAATCATCATGATAATTCAGTAATATTCAATGTGAGTTATAGGAATTAAAATCGTGAATTGTTCCATTTGAAACCATCATCAAAAACCCTGGATGCACTAGATGACCATTTCGTTTGGGTATATGACTCTTTTGCGATGCTCATCTAAGACTGTACATCAGGTAATCTTACTCATGACCATCAGTTTTTCGCATATACAAAAATCATGATAAGTTGTGATGATCTTTCCTTCATACCTGTCAAGTGAACAAATATCTATCAAATTGTAACCGGTAAATTATTTTCATTCTCTTATTTTTGATCATTGTGCGGTCTTCTCGGAATCTCCTTTAAAATCACAAATCACTTCATGATGAAATTTCTTGTATCTTTCTATAGACTTGTATATTTATCAAACAATTATAAATATGAGAGTACAACTAAAGTAAATGATTTCAATTAGGGAAGAGTTTTTGTGGATATTATAGTAATTTAACAGTCGAATTCATGAATCAATCAAAGCTAGACCACCATGGAAACCTGGAAGTACTGGACGGCCGTTTCGTCCCACTATGGGAATCCTCAGCAATGCACATTCACGATTCCGCTCGCAGGATTCGAAACCAGAGCCCTCATTCTCGCGCATGAACGCTTAATCTCTAGACCACTGAGTTGGCATCCAACGGTGTTAATGTCTAACCTCAACCAATTCTCTAAATTGCGTGACCATCTTCCCGCGAGCGGGATCGTGAAATCGCACTGCTGAGGATTCGTCCCACAATAGGATGAAACGGCCGTCCAGTTCTTTCAGGTTTTCAATGGTGGTCTAACATCAATCGGTTCATGATCTCAATCAATAACTTAATAATCTCCACAACCCTATATTGATGTTGTTTTATAATCTGATACACAGTTATCTTGAAGTATACTTACTGATTAATATTAGTAAAAAATGATTGAATTACATAATTTCCCTTGTTTATTGCTAACAAGTTAAGTTTTTAAAACACCCATTGTAATGTTTTCTTTAATCATTATTTTTTTCTAGGGGAAAAGACATTCAATCATGCCATTCAAAGTAAGTTTGTGCCGATGAACTGTTCATAACAAATGTCATATATATATACTCTTATGTATCAACTAGTAGCTAGATTCTTATGACCGTTTACAAACACATAAATTACGTATGTCCTAGTTAGTTTCTTTATACCATTAGGTTAAACGCTTATAGATTATCCGAATATATGACTATGCAGTAAGTCATCATAACGAAAGATGAATAGTGGCGTGCGTTTTGTCCTGTTTAGGACCCGTCAGCTTGATATTAGTTGATGTCCACTTCAAGACTTGATGCCGGTACTTTTTACTTCCAACCCCATCGCGTTATCCACTTAGCTGCTGAATACAGATAACTACTCACTTGTGCGACAGGTATGAGATTTAATAGATGAAATTTGGCTGGCAGTGGATTCTAGGAGGTGCGTTTCGTCATGTTTGAGACTTATCAATTGGATATACTTTGATTTTAGAAGACCAAAAACTATTCTTCTTGAAACAAATTACTCCGAAGAATATTTTATTACGTGTTCGCTCAAAATACTGAAGGTCCTACGTACAATTGCCGGTTGCATAATCGTAGGTGGACGATGCTGAGAAGTCCCATATAAGGATGAAACGGTCATCCAATGCCTCCAAGTTTTTTAATAGTGGTCTAGCTATGTACACTTTCTAGTTTAAACTGTGAAAATCTTAAAATCTCCGCAAAAATCTTCTGACACTAATATATATGTTCTTAACTGTGTAACTAAGACACTATATCAAGGATTCCAGTATCTTTAGATTGATAGCTTTTATTTTGATGATACCCAGAATTCTTTTAGACTTTAGCAACAAAAATATAGATGTTAAAAGAGGTTTTTTGTGGATAATGTAGTAATTTTAATAGTTGAGACCAAGAATCAATTGAAGCTAGATCACCAAAGAAAACCTGGAAGTACTGGACGGCCGTTTCGTCCCAATGTGGGACTCCTCAACAGTACGTACCCACGATTCCACCTCGCGACATTCGAATCCAGGACTTGTCATTCTCACGCGCTAGTGCTTAACCACTAGACCACTGAACCTGTTGACATCCAGCAGTGTTAATGTCTAACTTGAACTAATCCATGAAATTAAGCAACGCATGCATCATTGTCATCAGTGAGTTATTATCTCACAGCACACCCGGTTGAACTCCACTGGTCATTGTTTCTCAATAGAACTCCAGGATATACCTCTTGAAGCCAGTCACTAGTGAGCATATTTTCGGATCTCACGAGGCGAGGTCGTGGATTCGTACTGCTGAGAAGTAGTCCCACAATAGGACGAAACGACCATCCAGTGCTTTCAGGTTTTCCATATTGTTCTATCTTCAATTGACTTATGATCGTAACTACTGAAATCACAACAGACATTACTCAAATAAATAAAACATAATTATATTCCATATTGAATACTATTCTGGACAACATTTTATTCATTAGTCACTAAGTCATTGATATTATTATTAGTAGTATCTTACATTAAAAAAAAAGAAGGATATAAAATAATTAAATTAGATTTTCATCTTATAATGATGTATAATTCATTTTCTATAATAATATTAATAGAGTTTTGGAAAACCTACAACTAGTTCTCTTGAAACACAAAATACTTCAATGAATATTTTATTACCACCATCTGAAGAAACAAGTAAACGTGGAAGTTCTGGTAGCCTAGTGATGGTGATACGGTTAGTATTAATATATATATTGAATGTTTATTTTTTATTTAATAAACTAATTATTTTCAATAATTTACAGTTTTGTTTATTTCTTTAAAGAAACTTTGGTGAGATTATAATTTATGAATGAATCAATCAGGTATAAGATAACAGGTACTCGAATTTTGGCGCGTTATTCATTCATTCATCCATTCGGCTAACTCAAGTCTTGGCATTATAGCTGATGTCATTTGGTGATGAAAAATCATAAATCTAATTTCTAATCTTAATCATTAACTGTAAATCATAATTCAAATTTATCACTCTAGTTTATAACCCTCATTTGGTACTGCTTATTATAGGTGTATACTGTCAAAGTCGGTCTAGAGTCACTCAAAAGTCATTCATAAATTATAGTCTCATCTAATTACCTTTCTGTATTTTCATCCACATTTTATGCATTTTGAATATTTTTGTATGATAAAATTTTATAGGTTTCTAGAATGTTTCTGAAATATACTCTTAGCTTGATTATCATTAAGTAGGACCCTAAGAGGTTTCCTTGCAGCGTCTTTCCTACGTCCAGTAAGAAGAAGGTAAATACGCGCTCTCACTAGAGCATGATCTGAATCTAAGCATGTGCTCCAGAATGAACGACAGTCCTCTATCGAACCCCTCCATCGGTGGCTAATAGCGATGGGATCGATGGACAGAACACTTTAGGGATCATTTCAACTGGTTTTCAGCCACACTTGTGTTTTTCACGATCTCTAGTCAACCCGAATGGAAAGTTAATGTAGGTCCTCCGACCCTTTACGAAGTTGAAAAATCTATAGGAAATCTGAAGCGAGGGATGTGAATCTCTGTGCTAATGTGGTGTAGCAACTTGAACTGATGTACGTACGTACGAAGTTCTGCGTTGTTACTGACTGACTGATTTTCATTTTATAACATTCTCTTTTTTGATAAATGATTAAAGCATTCGATGAGACTATAATTTATGGACGGAGTTTGAGCGTCGCTAGACTGACCTTGAGAGTGTATCCACCTAATAACTAAGACTAACTGAGGGTTATAAACTAGGGTGAGGAATTCGAATTATGATATACAGTTGATGATTAAAGTTAAAAATTAGATTTAGGGTTTTCATCACGAACCAACATTAGCGACAATGCCAAAACTCCATTTAGTCAAATGGATGAATGAATTTCGCGCCAAAATGAGAGATCTATTATCTTATAACTGATTGGTTCATCCATAAATTATAGTTTCGTCAAGCGTTCAGTTATTGAAACCAACTGATTTCTGAATAAATTTCATTAAAGTAAATTATAATAATAGTACTAACTGATCATTTATTCTTCAAGTATTATGATGATATAACTTTCCAGGTTAATGAACTAAATCCTGCAGGTGAGATCGTAAATTCACACTGCTGAAAAGTCCCATACTAGGATGAAACGGTTATCCAGTGTTTTTGAGTTTTTCATGGTGATCTAGCTTTAATTGACTCATGAATTCAACTATATAACCAAACCAGTCAAAATCTAGAGATTGGATGTCGTTGTTGTTTTCTTTGATCATAAAAGCTACTAAATGACATTGTTGTGGTTTTATCCTCGTTTATCTTCATTTTTTGACTTTAAAATTCGCACATTTTAGTAAATAATTTACATTTATTATGCATTAAGATAATGACTGTAAGTTAATTGGCTCATTAAATGATCCCTAAACTACCACAGACCTGTATTTTCTAGCCTTTAATAATCCAACATTATGAAATTTAATTCTTCACAGTATATTACCATGTTAACGTTGATATACATCATTGATCAATGTAAAGTCAGTAACCTTAAAACAAATAATAGAAAACCTAATGTGTCAGATGATTTACACTAATAAATCGGGAAGCACTGGATAGCTGTTTTGTCCTATTGTGGGACTCCTCAGTAGTGCACATCGAGAATCTGTTCTCGCGAGATTCGAGCACAGGGCCTTCAGTCTCGCTTACAAACGTTCGGCCTACTAGACCATTGAACTGACCAGCATCCAATGGTTTTAATATCTAACTTTAACCAATCCACAAAATTGCGCGACCATCTTCCATTGTACTGAAGTAGATACCTGTCTCTACACGATATGGATTAGCTCCACTGGTTCAGTGCTTCCAGATTTTCAATGGTTATCTAACACCGATCGGTTCATGATCTCAATCAATAATTTAATAATCTCCACAACCCTATACTGATATTTATCTTTTCTCATAAATATTTCTTTTCATTATATTTTCATACTCTAAAGCATCATAGTTTGTTAGACTCAGTAAAAAATGTTATACAACGAGTAGGTAGTTCAAGACGTCATTCAGAAGTTTCACAATGTAATGAACGTGAAAAATTATCACAGCCATACAAATCTTCATTAGAGTCAACGGATAAAAAGTTACCATTAATTTCTAATGATCATTTACAATCAAATCAAACATCAAAATTGAATACATCAAAGTATTGATTCCTGATTATTTAAATTCTACATCACAAAGAATAATGCTACCAACAATTAGTCAAGGTAGTCATGAAGATGAAGATGTTGATAATGGTGGAATTGGAGGTTTCAATAAAATAATGGAAGGAAATGTATGTATTCATTTTCTTTTTTGAGTTATAACTTTTATTTATTACTGAATGTTGATTAATCATCTTTGGGGTGTCAAGTATAATTATTATTATTGTTGTTGTTAATTTGACCAACTCTATGTTTTGACAATGTAAAAGGTACGAGTTCTTCAAGAAGAAACGAAAATAAATTTCTGAAACTTGACACTCCAATGATCAGATAAGATAATTAGTAATAAATAATATGATCTATGTCCTTGAAGACTTTGTCCCTTCTAACTTCTGGTCTGAGCCATGTTGGTAAATGCAGACTACTTGGTTGGGTTCCGCGTGATTATTGTAACCAATGGTTAGAGACTCTGGGTGATATGACTCAGAATCGATCACAATGGCGTACGTAGGTGTATACACTCGCTGTCTTTCCTTAAACCATGAGATTGAAATCACTTCATATCCTTCTTTCTACCAACTAATTCTTTCTTCCTCTACTATATCCTTATTGCAATCTTTTTTCTATATATTACCACCTCTGAATTAACTATTATGAACCCGCTGTTCATCTTACTGTACTAAATAGGTATGGCATCTTGGATCGATGCATATATATGTGCCTGGTCCTACGTTGTAGCTGACTGACTGATTAATTCAATGATGTCTTTAAACAGTTAGAAAGAAATCTTCTTTTTAAAGTACTCAATTCCGAAGATAAATGCATAGGATATTTGAAAACCATCGGTTATTTCATGTTTACTGAAATATTCATATATCAAGTTTATGCCCTGAATTATTATGTTTTTTTTTGTGAGCCTCTATGAATTCAACTGAACTGATAACATCACTTAATTTTGATTTACGAGATATTTATATATGTAACTTGGATCGGTTCATGATCTCAATGATATTCAATCTTCTCCACAAACTTCTATGCTGATTATAACTACTGTTCTAAATATTGTAAACTCTATTCAAGTAGAAACCTATTAAAAATACCAATCATCATCTTATTCGCAAAGAGTAAACCTATAGTTGTATACTTTAGATAATAAAGAACACTCGAATTCACTTTGTGAATACTGAAGAATGTAATAAACTAAAAAATGTTGTGATTATAATTAGCCCGATTAGATATCACATGATTTATTCGACAATCGAAATACAATTTATTCAATCTTACTACTGTGTTAAATCAATGACTTTAGACTGGTATGAACAGCTTAACGTTTTTATTGGTTCAATCGATACCAGAATGTCAACAATAGATCCCACTATTAGCCACCATCTATCATTGCTGATTAATGAAAGTAATTTGTTCAACTTTTGTTGTTACAATTCTATATTCATTAAACTTTATTGGTATCTTATTAACAGGCTATAAATACAGAGAAGTATAATACAATTAATGACAAATATTATTCTGTTCATTCAAATAAAAGAATTGATAATGGATATATAATTGATGATAGTATACCACAGAAACAATATTCAATAAAACCAGCTGATTGGAATAATACTATTTATACGGATAGAAATAATGTGAAAAATCGGTAATTATTGTATTACATTATCATTTTGAATTATTTATCATTTCAACTGATATACTACTTACTTACTTACTTACTTACTTACTTACTTACTTACTTACTTACTTACTTACTTACTTACTTACTTACTTACTTACTTACTTACTTACTTACTTACTTACTTACTTACTTACTTACTTACTTACTTACTTACTTACTTACTTACTTACTTACTTACTTACTTACTTACTTACTTACTTACTTACTTACTTACTTACTTACTTACTTACTTACTTACTTACTTACTTACTTACTTACTTACTTACTTACTTACTTACTTACTTACTTACTTACTTACTTACTTACTTACTTACTTACTTACTTACTTACTTACTTACTTACTTACTTACTTACTTACTTACTTACTTACTTACTTACTTACTTACTTACTTACTTACTTACTTACTTACTTACTTACTTACTTACTTACTTACTTACTTACTTACTTACTTACTTACTTACTTACTTACTTACTTACTTACTTACTTACTTACTTACTTACTTACTTACTTACTTACTTACTTACTTACTTACTTACTTACTTACTTACTTACTTACTTACTTACTTACTTACTTACTTACTTACTTACTTACTTACTTACTTACTTACTTACTTACTTACTTACTTACTTACTTACTTACTTACTTACTTACTTACTTACTTACTTACTTACTTACTTACTTACTTACTTACTTACTTACTTACTTACTTACTTACTTACTTACTTACTTACGCCGGTTACTCCTAATGGAGCATAGGTCGCCGAGCAGCATTCTCCAACCCACTCAGTATTTCATATAGAAACTTAAATTAGCGATAATTCCAGATCGTGTTGTTAATCATTAGAGATAGTACACGAATAACATCTACAAGATATGCAATCAGTTATCAAACGCAATAGATATAATGTGTACAAAACTAATAATTCATTTACTAGTCATAAAAGTATATTAACCATGAAATGAAAGATGATATATTGAAGCTGATAACATATGCTCACTAGTGACTGGTTTCAAGAGGTATTTCCTGGAGTTCTAGTAAAAAGTAGTGACCAAGGGAGTTCAGCCAGGTCTGTTATGAGATAGTAACTCACTGAAGATAATGGTGGACTGTGGCATGACTTCGCGAATTTTTTCAAGTTAGACATAAACACTGTTGGATACAGGTTAAGTCAGTGATCTAGAGGTTAAGCGTTCGTACGTGAGACCGATAGTTCCTGATTTCGAATCCCACCAGGCGGAGTCGTGGATGTGCACTGCTGAGGAATCCCACAATAGGACGAAACGGCAATATAGGGCTTCCAGGTTTTCCATGGTTGTCTAGTTTCAACTGACTCATGACCTCAGCTATTAAAACATTAATGTTTGTTTATTTCCCATAGAGATTAAAGTATCAATTCAACGTAATCGTATATACCTGGAGTTTCATATTGTTGTAATTGATTTGGCTGATTCAATGGATTTGTACAGTCATAACATGAAATTAAAGTGTGCTTTTTGGGGAAAATCGAATGCATTCAACTCAAGCTTACATGAGTTGTTATTAAAATCTAACAATCATATAGTAAATGCTTAGTTTGCAAAACGTCCGTTAGATGTCTTAAAACGACTCAGATTTCATTGTTCTTGCATTTTCATACAAATTGCATCCTGTTCCCATTCTTTACTATTCGATCCTCTTGTCTCTTTGTTGCCAGACATTCTGTTCCTGACTAATATCTTATACTACTTATGTCGGTATAAGTAGCACACACCACAGTATTACCGAAACGATTATATGATAATCAGAAAAAATAGCTCATTTCACACATACAGCTTTAGTATTTAAATGGAAAAAAATTTTGTTCAAATTCATTCTACTTGACCTAATAAACGTCATAAACCTTAACAGGATATTTCAACATTCCTTGGTTGTTTCTTCGTGATTACCAAAGATAATTTATGAATTTTAATGTATGTTAATTAGCATCAAAGCCTATGATATTATCATTGAACTGTTATGATCACTACAAACTTCCTGTATGATTAAGATCTTTATATCAATCGATCTTCAAACAGTACCTATTCTCATGCTTTATTGATCATAGTACGAATCCAATTCTGTCAGTGAATTTATAATATAGGGACTGTGTTATATGATTCAATATCACAATTTACTTTATTTTTTTTAAACTACTTATGAGTAGGTAAAAATAACGTAAAATTGTTTTCATAAGGACAATTGATTGATCACTGGGTGATGATCAATGTCATGTGTGTCAAACCCCTCTTAGTTCAACCAAGTTGCAAAGTGGCCAATAGTCTAGATGAATTTACATTGCGTGCACTATGTTGAGACGAATGTGAAGTAGCACGAAACCCTGGTGTTTTTTTAATTTGAATTTTACACTTTAATAAACACGTTTTAATATATATATCTTTATTTAGATTTTGTTATTTTCTTATCAATTTTATCTTTTTATAAGCCCTATATCAACATTACCATATGGATCAAATCTGCATTATATAAATCAACAGACTTTTCAACTGTTCCTTATATACAAGAATCAGTTCATCATATTTCATCATTATATAAATCAAATTATTATAATCAATCAAAATCTATCAATGTTATAAATGAATTACAAAATGTAAATAATAAAGGAAATGATTTGATTAATATGAATGAAGAAGAGATTAGATCTGAAATAGAAGACGAAGAAGAAGTAGTAGAAGTAGAAGTAGAAGAAGAAGATGATGAAGAGGATTTATTTACAACAATAAGAAGTGAAACACCTAGTCCAGCACCATCAATTGCTGCAGCTATACTTAGACCAAATTATTATTCTAATTTAAAAGAACATAAATTAATGAATCATAGAAAAACAATTGATCCTTCAGATTTTACAGTTTATACTAGTATACCAAGAAATTTAATAATGAATAAGTTGATCAATAAAAGTGGGAATACTAGTGGATATTCTAATGGTATGGTTAATAAAGACTTGGAAGAATTATTAGATTTACCTAAGGTATAAATCAATCATTTATTTACTATAATGTTGTATATATATACATGATGTTTATGAAATATAATTTGATATGTACTCCATACAAAACAATTATAATTAACACATTAGCATTAAGTTAAATTTGAAGCTTGATTGGTAAAGATTTCTCTAAGTTACAAAAGGTGAACTAAGATCTCGAGATCAAGCGTTCACTCAAAAGACCGTTAAGTTCTGGGTTAGAATCTCACAAGTGGGATTGTGGATCTGTATTGCTCTGGAGTCCTATACTAGGAAAAAACTACCGTTCAATGCTTTCAGGTTTTTCATCGTGGTCTAGATTTAATTGACTCAACTATTGAAATTATTGAAATCTCTACAAAACCCCTTCTCATAATAATCATCTGATCACTAATGACTGACTTCAAGAAGTATTTCCTGGAGTTCTAGTGAGAAACCGTGACCATTAGAGTTCAATCAGGTCTGTTGTGAAATATCAGCTCACCGAAGACAATGGTGGATGTGTCACTCAATTTCATGAATTGGTTGATGTTAAACATTAACACTGTTGGATGCCAGCCAACTCAGTGGTCTAATGGTTAAGCGCTCGCACACGAGACTGATAAATTCTCTGTTCGAATCTCGTCGGGGGGGACAGGATTGTGGGTGTGCATTCCTGAAGAGTTCCATACTAGGACAGAACGGCCGTCTAGTGCTTCCAGGTTTTCCATGTTGATCTAGCTTCAATTAACTCATGATTTCAATTATTGAAAGATTTATTTAACAGAATGTTGTTAAAAACTGTAATAAAGAGTTAACTATTTCAAATGTCAACTTTAGAAAATACTGCTATACACTTCCTAGAGCAAGGTACAAATGACTTTCATTGAAACAGCTAGATACATCATCCTATAAATCAACCATACTTTAGACAATATTTTATTCACTCAATATTTGTTTTATAGATAGTACCTTTTATTATTTTAAAGCTTGTCACTTACTGTAGTAGCTTCGTTCTCATTAAATATCTTTAAACAACCATTTTTTGTGAAACTGAATATTAGTTAATAGTGGCTAGCAGTGGAATCCAGTTTGACGTGTGTTTCGTTCTATTTGGGACTTGTCAGCTGGATGTACCTGCATCCCAGAGTTGATGCTCACTCTGCAACTCGAATCGAGTATCGTTCGCTTATAACACCATCGCGTTATCCACTTAGCTACTGAGTCTTGATATCCGCTAGCCCGTACAATACGGTCACATATGCTAACAAGAGCCTGATCAATTGCATTCCTAAATAATATCGGGAAGATATAACTAAGACAACACTAAGTGACTATGAATCTTAGTTTTTTAGTTTCTTTAACACTTAGAGTGTAAGAATCACAGCTTTCTTGTGTCTATATAATAGGATGTCCAATTAACCAATAATTCCTAAATCCTAATTACTGGTTACCCATTATTTCCCATTTCACCGTTGATTTATCAAATTTTAAATGAAATGAAATCAGTCTATAAACAATGGTTTTATAATCAACTATAACAGTTAAACTCTTATTATCCAACCTTGGTAATGTTTATTTGTATCCTCTCATGGATGTTTAGGATTGCAATTGATCAGTCTCTTATTGACATATGTGTATAATATGCGTATTGCCTCATAATAGCCTTAATTCAGAAGCATTATAAACAAAGATGGATAGTGGTGTTAGCAGTGGAATCCAGTTTAACTCGTGTTTCGTCCTATTTGAGACTTGTCATTCAACCGTTTTTGAGTATATGTTATAATATTTTGTACTTTATTGTTATACCTTTCTTTTATCAAGACTATTTGGACCGCTTGTTTACCAGATGTTCAGCCAATCAATGGAAATTCTCATTCTAATCGAAGTGTTAAATATTACAAACGTCAACTACCTCAAATACCTTCAGAAGTTAATAAAATAGATGTTAAAGATACATCCAATCCTTGTCAAATATCCACGTCTATAGGAATAAAAAAAGGAAGAGATAATCTGTTAACAGACGTCTTGAAGGTAATTTAAAATAAATGGATTATCAATTTTGTTTTATAATTTAGTTTTCCCATTATCATTCATAGTACATAAAACAATAAATTTTGAACTATTAGTATGAGAGTTTGCGAAGATTGTAGTGATTTTATTAGTTGAATTCATGAGTTGATGTAAGCTAGATTACCATTAAAAACTTGAAAGCAATGGATGATAGTTCCATCTTAGTATGGAAATTCTCAGCAGTGCGTTCCACGATCCACAACTCACGACTTGAACTAATGAAGACCTTCGGTCCCGTGCGTGAATGCATAACCTCTAGTCCACTAAGCTGGCAAAGAACAGTGTGAATGTCTAACTTCAATCGATCCATAATCTTGCACAATCATTCATCTATTGTCTGAGTTAAATACCTGTCTTTATCCGATACGGAATCGACTCAACTGGTCACGGCTTCTAGGACGAAATGGCCATCCAGTACATCCAGCTTTTCAATGGTGGTCTAGCTTACATCGATTCATGAATTCAAGTATCACCTTTTTGAACAAGTTTTTAATCATATTTCATTTGTCTAAAGATAATAATTTAATTTTGTCACGTCTTTTGTTGATTCTCTTGACTTCCAAACGTACTCATAACAAGAATATTTATTTCTATAAACTTAACTCCGAAACACACTTATAATTCACTTAGTATTGTTTGTCTTGTATCATTCCATTGAGGTATAAGACTGCAATTGATCAGCACAAGCAAGTAGCTATCAGGATTCAGTAGCTGAGGGGACGGTACTGGGTTCAAGTCCAGAGTGAACATCAAATCTGAGATGCAGGTACATCCAACTGACGAGTCCCAAATAGGACGAAACGCTCGTCCTGGATTCCATTGCTAGCCACTATCCATCATTGCTTACAAAAACCACTTATAGGTCGTTCAAAATATTTGAGTTCAGCGCTGAAAATCCCTGATAATGATAAACTAGATCAAATCAACTAACTATTATAACATCATATTGATGATTTTATTCAATCAAGGTAAACAATGTAAAAAGAGATGAGAACTTATTGTACACTGAAAAATCAATAACCGTTTATTCATTACTTTCTTATAAGAATAAAATCTTTTCGACATCATCAGAGTCAAATGTTAAAATCAATAAATGTCATATTGATTTCCTCAATTGTTATATCTTAGTGAAGATTACATTACAAGTAACTTCTAAGACCTATGAATGGACTAATATTATACGATATATTCCTATGGGGTACCTAGCCTGTCGTATGCCCTGATGGTGTTCTCGTAACCTTCGGATTGCCTGATCTACCAAGGGCGATGGGACAGTGTATGATGCTTTTGTTGTGTGCTAGGTTCAAAAAGAATTGTATGCTATATGAATGCAAATTCGCCCCGTTATTGTTCCTATCCCTGCTTCGGTTTGGGCATCCGGGCAGTATCACAGCCCTCACACGTATCAAATAAGATTTGTGTGGCGCATATGTATTTGGCGTCTCCTTGTACCAATATCTATGTGTTAAAATAAAATAAAATAAATTCCTATTGTATAATTATTCAGTAACTAGATTGTGTATATCCACATTCCTCTTCATTTTGATCTATAAACTATTATTGTACGACTTACTATTCTTAAATTATACTCAGTTTATTAATTACAGTCCCCCACGTTCACAGACACTTTTTGGCTTGATCTTGTATAAATGTGTATTTCCTATTTTATGGTTTGATGTGGTCCTGTTTGGCTGGTAATATAAATCAAGTATGTTTGAAATAAATGATTCGCATAGTGGAAGCAGTTATTGATGTTTTGGACTCAACAGGCAGAGTTAGGCGTACAAAGGATCAATAAGAACAGTAGACTGCTCATATACCAGTCGAATGTCATAGGTTCAGCACAGTAGTAAGGTTTGTATAAGTTTACATGAGATGAAGTCACTAACTTATATGCCAAACCGCACTTCCTATATCTGGGCTTGGAATCGGCAGTAACTCTAGAAAAGCTATAACCAAAGTTTGTATGAATTGAATCATCACTTTGTAAATACTTTTTTTAATAAGAACATTAAAATGTACTTTCATTCGAAATTGTACTTCCATAAGTTTACTTACAGAAATATAAAGTATCATATGGCTTGAATCAAGTACTTTACTGTAAAGTATAATTACAAAAGTATTTAATTAATTAGATAATCATTATAATATTACATTCATAATTTGTTTGATAGCATTAGAACCATTTCTAAATAAATGAATCATAGTTCAAGAGATTAGGTCTAGAACTCACAGTAGAACTCATAGTCATTATAGTTATATAATATACCCTTGTGGGCCAGGGTAATTTTACATTGGTTTTCAGGAGAACCAAACATCATCCAGACTTTCACTTGATAACCCAAACAGTACAGCCCAATCCCGCTTCATAGGAGAACCAGATACAGTATAGGCTTTAACGCTACGATTTGAATAGTACAACTCAACCCTATGGCGTAACCACACAAATACCAAGTACCCTGGTGGACCATTCATACACACATTCACGTCACATGTATAGTTATTTCGATCAATGATCGCGTGAATCAATTATGCACAGCATGAACAGGCCAAATTCGATTTATTCCGCTTACCTGACAGTCAAATTCATCAATGTTAGCAATGGTGACATGCCTTACAATGTCCCAATGACAATGGCTCTTGAGAAAACTGGAATACAATCACCAGTATGAATGAAATCGATTTAGCAAGCAAACCAATTTTTGTGCTGAACGGTCAGCAAAACTTACCCAAGTAATGCCAAACCATTCAGAATATCAATGACGAACCTCCAGTCTCATATGGGACCTTCAGCTCTACATAGCCAAATAGCTTATTTGTAAAATTAATTATTATAATACAGTAATGTAATAAATTCTGTGTTATATTGGAAACAGTAATGGAATATTCTAAACATTATTATCATATTCACTTCATATTATTGATTACTTAAATCTTCCCATTGATATTTAGGACTGCAGTTGATCAGTCTCTTATTGGTATATATACATCCTATACGAATCACATCAATATTGCCTTAATTCACAAGTATTTTAAGTAAAGATGGAAGGTGGCTAGCAATGAAATCCGGGACGCACGTTTCGTCCTACTTGCGAACCATCAGCTGGATGTACCTGATCCGGGACTCAAACCTAGTACCGTTCGTTTCGAATGTCATCGCGTTATCCACTTAGCGTTCTAGATTTCACCGCTAGTCACAATCATATAACAAAAATTAGCTAATGATGTTCGTTCTATTAAGATGTTAAATGAAAGTAAAACATCAAGACGTAAATAATCTTTTACACTGTCGCACTATCTGGATTATTTAAACAGACTTCAATTAATTTTTTCGTAAGCAATGATGGATAGTGGCTAGCAGTGGAATGCAGTTTGACGCGCGTTTCGTCCTATTTGGCACTCGTCAGTTGGATGTACCTGCATCTCAGAGAGTTGATGTTCACTCTGGGACTCGAACCCAGTACCATTCGCTTCAAACGCCATTGCTTTATCCACTCAGCTACTGAGTCCTGATAGCCATTTGCTTGTGAGTCCCAGAGTGAACATCAACTCTGAGATGCAGGTACATCCAGCTAACGAGACGTAAATAAGACTAAGTGACTTGCGTCCTGGATTCCACTGTTAGTCCACTATCCATCATTGTTTACAAAAAGCTTGTGAATTAAGGCAATATCGAGGCATACGCACACTATGCACATATGCCAATAACAGACTGATCAATTGCAGTCTTAAAACCTCAATGGGAAGATACAAGCCAAACAATACGAAGTAGACTTCAATTAAGTTATGCATAAATTAAAGAAATTTATTTTGTGGCATATATGTAATGAACAAGAACACCAGTGGGGACAATCGGGCGTATATGAGCAAGCAATTAGAGAGCATTTCAATAAAATGTGAGAACCATATAGTAACTAGTTAATTTGCAAAATGTCCATCGATTGTCTTAAAATGACTCAGACTTCATTGTTCTTGGATTTTCATACAAATTGGATTTTGTTTCTATTCGATCCTCTTGTCTCTTTACTACCAGACATTCTGTTCCTGTCTAACGTTTATATACTACTTATGTCGATATAAGTAGTAAATACCACATATATACTTCCGAAGAGTATGAAATTCAACTCTTTTATATAGGTTAGTTAGATTTTTCTCATAGATTTTAGAAGTGTAATTATTCAATCATTGAATAATAAATTTGTGGGATGTAGATACATTCGGCTGATGATTCTGAAATAAGATAAAGCATGAATCTTAGATTACACTACCAGCTACCATCCATCTATGGTTGCTGTGTGAAATTTATTTATTTCATCAGATAAGTAAGGTTTCTCTAGAAACAAAGAATAGAGAATCCTGAAATTTGACTAGAATAAATTATTTGATGAACTACAAATGAATGTGTTCGATGACACATTTGATTGTAAAGAATATGACCTACAGTTATATCTAATTTTGTAAAGGCTGAAGTAAAGGAAACATATATATAGAAGATGGGTTTTGTGGATATTATAGTAATTTCAATGGTTAAGATCATGAGTCAGTTGAAACTAGACCACTATGGACAACCTGGAAGCACTTGACAGCAGTTTCATCCTATTGTGGGACTTCTCAGTAGTGCTCATCCACGACCTCGACCTCTGGGAGATTCGAACCCGGGACTTATTGGTTTTGCGCGCGATCACTTAACCACAAGACCACAGCTGGCCGGCATTCAACAGTGTTAATGTCTAGCTTTAACTAATCCACGATACTTTTTTCAATCTATTATACTCTTTCAGATGAACAATACAAAATCCGGTTTTATGAGTATACCACAAAAGAATGAAAAACCTCAAATCAATGAAGATATTTCTGTTATTGTATATCAACCACCATCTATTGATCCACATGGTCCTGCACCTAATCCACCTGTATATTGTTCATCATTTCCTCAATCTAATCTATGGTCTTTAAGGCATAATAATAATAATAATAATATAGAATCTCCTGGAATCAATAATGAATTATCTCAAATGTATTTCAAACAATCAACAACTCCAAGACAAAATTGGTTAAATCAGGTTTGTCTTTTATATATATTATTTATACTCAATTGATAGTTTTGATGAAGTTGAGAACATTAGTAAGAATATAAAAGCCTTTTTGATAAATCATCAAGGCTATCAAACGTTAACCTTTAGATTCTAATAGAATAACGTCTTAGCCAAATCACTGTTGAAAACCAGGAAGAAATGAACAGCACCTATTGCTTAGCGTGAAACACCTCAGCAATGAGCATCCTCGATCCAGTATTCAAGAATCAAACCTAAAACAATTTACAGTCTACACAAATCCCCTTATATTTAAAATCTGAAAATGGTTTCCACTCAATGAACAGTCCATATTGATGTTGCTTCACTGACAGCTTAGAATTTAATAATGTTCGAGTAATTTCCATTACCAGTTAATGCAATCTTTACAATGTCTACCTTAAGTAAATTGAATAGAGTTGACTTGAATTGGATAGAGTTGGTCAGTCAATACGTAATCTTAAAATAATAACAATTTTTATCTCTATAACATAACATAATGCCTCTAAGAAATTGAACACGGTAGAATAGGGTGACAATCTACATTGAAGCATAATATATATCTTCTAACTGTACGATTGAACTGGTTTCATAAACTGTATTATTATCGCCAGGCTCACTCTATACAACGATTTGAACAGAGAAGAAGAAAAGGCGCGTCATATGCAAAGTACGCCATACTTCGACGTCAGTTTATGTACAAGTTAATTGAGGGTATTTATAGCATTTCAGACAACCTTAAACTTCTGGAAAGTTTCCGAACCCTCAGAAACATAATAGCAGTATAGGTATTCATCCAACCGGAAATGTGACATGTGACATTTCATTGTTCAGATTTTTGTGAGACACTTCTATCGACGCTTACAGGATAAAATATTCTCCACTGTCTTCAGGGCCTTTTCTGGTCTGTTTTGTTTTTCGAGGAATTTTCACGGTCTACTCAACAGAATGAAATATGTTTTTAGAGATGAATCAAACTATTATATCATCCATTAACTTAAAAATGTAACATATTTCTCAGAGAACCACTCAGCTAGAAAATTCGGTGGGACTATAATTAATTATGGACGACCTTTCAGAAACGGTAAAGTGACCTAGATAGTTTCTATCTACTTACTAGAGCTAAATGAGGGTTATAAATCAGGGTGAGGAACTAGAATTATGATTCACAGTTGATGGTTTAGATTAGAAATTAGATCTAGAGTGTTCATCACAAACTAATATCATCTATAATGCGAAAGACTATTTAGCCTAACGGATGAACAAATTTCGCGTCAAAATCCGAGATCTGTTATCTTATGCCTGATCGGTTCATCCATAATTTATAGTCTCGCCGAATGCCTTTGAGAAAGTGAACACAGTCTTATTCATATGGCATGTTAAATAATGAAATGATATTGATTCGCTTTAGGAGAAGTCTAAATTTCCTATAAAATATAGATAAAGACGCCATGAATATTCAGAGTTTAACAACGTTGTTGTTCATAACAACCTTATAATCGAAGGATCCTAAACACAATCAAACTAGGAGTCAGAAATAAAGAAGTACAAAGATATATTTTTGAAAGATAGTCGATAATTTATGAAGTGTATGTGTGATGCAAACTAACTAGTTATTGCTAGGAAATGCTTAGTCCGGTGTACCCAATAATAATCTTATACGGATGCATGAATGAGTACCTTCAGCTGGGAATTGTCTTGTAAAACCAATAACGTCGAATCAATCTCAAAGACTTAAAAACTATTTATTTTGAGGATTTATTTATCGCTATACATACCAAAACGTGACACAAATCCATAAAATCACTGACAAGTGGACTGAGTCATATTGGTAGGTGTAGACTACCTGGTTGGGATCCACGAGACGATAGCAACCGATGGTTAGAGACCTTGAATGACATGGCTGAAAATCGTTTGCAATGGTGCAGATGCATCCACACTTTGTGTTCTCCAAAATTCTAATCTTCTGAATTCTTCATGTCCCTTTGTTTTTCTCTTTCCAAATTTATTTCACTGGATTATACTCCTTGAATAGTACGTTCAAACCCTAATATTTCCGATTACTGCTTATACTCTTACCACTTCTATCACTATGGAATTAGAATCGACAATTGTATCTCTGTGCTAATGTGAAATGTCAGCTCGAACTGGTGTACGTACGTACGAAGTTCTACGTTGTTACTGACTGACTATTATTATTTTTGGCTTTATTCATTATTATATTTTTGGTACAATTCAACAACTTTCCTTTTCGTATATCTTCATCTATCCTGACGATAACATATTGAATGATCGCCAGTTAGAAGTAAACAGGAATCGATGTCTGATTACGCAATTCATAAGACGAAAAGCCAATGTCCAGCGCTTTAACCGGATCGGTGGACATGGGGAGTCAACCTAGGGGAGTTGGAAAACCCTGATTTCAAACCAATGGTGCATATGGGCCCCAGTATCCTGAGGGAACAAATGGCGTAGGAACCAATCGTTGGTCACCGGCTACCATGGAACGGCATCTTTCTTACGTTGCTCCACTGCATTGTGGATCAGATCTTCAGGTCGAAGGCTCGGGGTGTGGCCCCCCTAAGAAAACCACCTGCTTCGGTTTGGTCACCCGGGCAGTATCACAGCCCTCACACATAACAAATGAGATTTGTGTGGCGCATATCTTTTTGATGCCTCCTTGTACCAATATATATGTGTTAAAATAAATAAATAACAAATGTTTGAAATATCTAAATGACAGGAAACAGATAACCCAGATATTCAAACAGTCCGCTTGGAACTTTTGTTCATTTCTAATGATATTAACCTACTTTTATTGTTTGTTTTTGTTTTTGTAGCTAGTTATTAATGATTTAAATGAATCAATGATGAATTATAAATCGATTGATAAAGATTGGTCACATCTTGATCTTCCATTAAAACATTTAGCACCTTCACCTTCATCACCATCATCATCATCATCATCACCACCACCTCCACCAGCACCTAAACCTATTTTATTAAATATCAATGAAGATTTATCAAAATTCAATTATTGAAAATGATATTCATTAGAATAGAGAACTGAAGTCTCTTCATAAAACTTTCATTGAATCCATGGTAAAATAATTGATATGGAAAATGTTTTTTTTTGTTGTTTTTTTTTGTAAAGAAATAAATAGTCCTTTATTGTTTTTTTATGAACTTGTGTCATATTGTGGAAATGATGAACCGATCCATAATAGATCACCCATAGAAATGATCGTTTTGTTCTAGTACAGGAATACTGAATAGTAATCATCCACACGCACACAATCACACACACACACACACCCGACTGAGAATCGAACCAAGAACTTTTGGCTTCGTATAAATGTCTCACCTCTAGACCAGTAACATGGAATTCAACATTGTCCGTGTGTTTAACTTCAATCAATTCATGATATAGACACAATGATCATATATTGTATGTGTTCGATAACTGTTTTCTATGCAATATGGTTGAACTTCATTGGTTATGGGTTTTTTATTAGAACTTGATAAGTCTTGTCGATTGAACGCTATATTCGTTTCCTAAGCTATTTTGGTAACCCACAAGCTAGAACTACACAGCGACCTGAACACCAGAGAGAAGACGCAATTATGAGACAAATACTTTACTTCAAGGTTCGTTTTTGTACAGAAAACATGGGTATTTATAGATGTTAACGTTTGTTAAATCAACATCATATTTCGGCCAATCCGTTAACGACATATTATGCTACTGACCAATAGTAGCACGCCACGTTGGAATTCTAGAATGTTCCATCATGCTCTGATTGGCTAGGACTCTTCGGCTTCTTTTGGGCCACTGGAGGCTCCGTTGAAGTTCTCCGAAAGCCGACTAAACAAAAATCTAAGAGTTTCATTATGAAATTAGTCACTAGTGAGAAGGGCATCATAAGTGTTAGTACAAAGTTCTGGAGATTGTTGAATTTCATTGAAATTCTTTAGTCTATTTAAGTTAGATCACCATCGCGTAATACATATATTTCATAATGAATCGTTCAGTTGATGTTTAATAATTAATTTTGCATACTGATTATGTACTACAATAAACTACTAGTATCAAATATGTTTAACAGCATTATTATCACCTATAATTTAACATGTACAAGTTAGAATATCAGATTGAATGAAGCAAGTTCACTTGGACCATTCATCATCTTATGTTTGATTAAATCAAAACAATATGATTATTATCAAAAGGGGTTTTGTGGAGATTTTTAGAAACTCCCTTGATTGAAATCATGAGTCAATTGAAGATAGACCACCATGGAAAACCTGGAAGTACTGGATGACCGTTTCGTTCCAGTGTGGGACTCATCAGCAATGCGCATCCATGATCCCACCTCGCAAGATTCGAACCCAGAACCTATCAATCTATCTTCAATTAACTCATGATCTCAACTAGTGAAACAACTATAATATGCACAAAACCCCCTTTTCTTATTAATCACCATATGCTCACTAGTGACTGGCTTCAAGAGGTCTTTCCTGGAGTTCTATTTAGATACTGTGACCAGTGGAGTTCAACCAGGTCTGTTGTGAGATATCAACTCACTGAAGATAATGGTGTACGGTGGCTCAATTTCATGGATTGGTTGAAGTTAAACATTAACACCGTTTGATGCCGGCTAGATCAGTAGTCTGGTTGGTTAGGCGCATGGCGCGAGAATGATAGGTCCTAGGTTCGAATCCCGCTGTGTGCGGGACCGTGGGTGCTCACTGCTAGACAGTCTCATACTAGGAAGAGATGGCTGTCCAGTGCTCCCAGGTTTTCCATGGTGGTCTAGCTTCAATTCACTCATGATTTCAATCAGTGAAATATCATTATTGACAAAGATAGATAATGGCTAGCATTGGGATCCAGGACGTACGTTTCGTTCTATTTGAGACTTGTCAGGTGGATGTACCTGCATCTCAGAAACACGCCTAATGGACTCAACTGCTAGCCACTAACTATCTTGGCTTAAAAAGCTTGTGATTTAAGGCTATATTGAGGCAATCCACACAGTATGCAAATATGCCAATAAGCGACTGATCAATTGTAATCCTAAATAACAACTAGAATATAAACATTACAATTTTGATTGAGATCGTGAACCGATTGATGTTAGACCGCCGTTGGAAACCTGGAAGCATTGGACAGCCGTTTCGTCCTGTTCTAGGATTCTGAGCAGTGCGCATCCATGATCCCGCTCACGGGATTCGAACCCAAGGCCTTCAGTCTTGCGCGCGAACACTTAACCTACTACTACAATTCTGTTTTAACACTTGCTTTACATCAAGTCGTCAACCGCCAATACCATTTTAACCATCAGTCATAGTAAATCCTTAAAAGAATACAGCATCAATAAAGAATATCTTTTAATATGTGGACAATTGTTGTGAGATGCATATCAATTGTTAGAATGACATAATTCTGTTGCATGAAACTGCTGAGGAAATCAATAGTCTCCTTTTACATCTTGTATGAATATAAAATAATACTTGTAATGTATTATACTACATTTAAATGCTAAACATCAATTTAAGACCGATCTATCTCATCATCTAGTTTTATCATAAAGAGGCAACGAAACACCTTGAATATTCACTTATATTACTATCTTGATCAAACTTGGTAAATTGGTAAGAAGAATAGTAAGTTTTCATTTGAGTTGTCTCAATTGTGGTGTAAACCAGATATCAATGCGAGTATAGTACTTATTCATTCATTCTATATTATTTTATGGATGAAAAACATAGTCTACAAGATTATAAAACGTTAATAGGTTGCGCAAATACCATTAAACCATTGTTTCTACACGGTGAAAGGAATATTGAAAATGATTTTTAATATTTGGTGCTAGATAGAAGGATATCATAAGCTTTCATCGACTAAGGTATTTGAGATATACAACATAGGCATAGTCACCATCTCTACACCAACTCGTCATCATGTTAACCGGCATAGAAGTTGATGGGATAAAGAAGAAACCCAATTGAAACATACTATTAGTACATGAATATAGCAAAAAATAGTCTCACTCATTTAGATCTCTCATTTGAGACTATTACAATGATTATAATCGATTATTTAAAACTCATGGTGATAAAGATCGAAATCCGTCACAGTAGCATAACTTTACTAATTTCCCATTAATCTTTTTTTCAAATTCAATATAAAGTACAATACATTAGACCAATATGGTATTACTTATGATTGATTGAATATAATGGAATTCAATAATAACTATCGATTTGTGGAACTTAAAGCCGTATTCATTTTTGTATTGTTTCATTTATTTTTGGTACAATCACTACTAATATAGTGAACAAGAACACAAGCGGGGATAATCGAATGTAATTTTTAATAGTTGAGATCATGAGTCAATTAAAGTTAGACCACCGTGAAAAACCTGTAAGCACTGGACGGCCATTTCATCCTATTGTGGGAGTCCTCAATAGTGTGCATCTACAATCCAACCTCACGAAATTCAAACCAAGAACCTATCAGTCTCGCAAGCGAGCGCTTAACCTCTAGATCACTGAACCAGCCGGCGTCCAACAATGTTAATGTCTAACTTCAACTAATCCACCATGTTGAGAGACACATTCATCATTGTCATCAGTGTGTTGCCATCTCATAACAGACCTAGTTGAACTCCACTGAACACAGCTTCTCACTAGAACTCCAGGACATACCTCTTGAAGTCAGTCACTACTGAGCAGATTGATTATTATCAGAAAGAGGGTTTTTGTGGATATTATAATATTTTAATAGTTGAGATCATGAGTCAATTGAAGCTAGAACACAGCTTCGATGGTTTAGAGGTTAAGTGTTTGCGCGCGAGACTGACAGATCTTGGGTTTGAATCTCCCGAGTCGGTATCATGGATTCGCATTGTTGAATGTTTTTGAACACTCAAAATCACAGAACATCTTAATAAAATCTAAGAACCATTATAGTAAATATTTTATTTGCAACATGTCAATCAATTGTCTCAGACTCATTACTCCTTCACTTCTATATCAATTACTTTCTATTCCCGTTCTTTCTTCGTTGATCTTCTGCTGCCAGACATTCTATTCCTGGCTAGCATTATACATATATATGTACTACTTATGTCGATATAAGTAGTACTTATCACATCAATACTACTAAAAATACTGATGATCATAATAATGATAAAGTAACTGATTAACACGTATATTGTCTAATTTCTACTTTCTTTACTTTTATTTTTAGGCATTTTCATTCATCAATTGGATTGATATATCCTAACAAACATAATCATCAATCTCCCTCCCCCCTCTCACTCACGTTTCTATGGATTAGTGTATTCATTGTTATTTTCTTTGCTTTTTTTCTTTCTTTTCTTTTCTTTTTTTAGAGAGAAAAAAACCTGTATTCACTTAGTTCTATTGTAGAAAATTGTATGTATGTATGTATGTATGTATAATGATTTGTGTGTATATTATAGAATAGTTTCATAGAAGAGAAACAAAAACCCCCTATTTATGCTCAATACTAACTCAAATGTAAATGTGCTCCTTCAAACTAACCAACCAACAAACCACTTAACAAAGAAAGAAAGAAAAAAACATTCCATTTGCTCATCCAATTTTCCCTTTTTTGGGGGGAGGGGGAAGGGAAAGGGGTGGGAGTCTTAACTCATTTACAAATTTTTTTCTTGAGTTCAATCTTTTTGTTGAGTAGGTTCTTTTTGTTTATTTACATACACATATTGAATATGATTTTAATTATTATTATTATTATTATTTTTTATTATGATTATGATTATGATCAAATGTCTTTCTATTTAATGAATGAATGTTTATTAGCTCGAATCCTTTAATTCATCCATATAGAATACATCACTTATTATTATTATGAGTGTAATTTATTTAGAATTATGATTAGTATTTTGTTGTTTGGATTGTAATTAAATTTTTAAAAAAAGGCACACAATCACTATTATGATTATTATTATTATTGACTATTAATGTTATAACTTGTCGGATTGAAGGCTAT